CATGATCCTGGGCACCCTGCTGGAGCAGGGGGTTGGAAGAGATGATCTGCAGAGGTCCCTTCCAACCCCTGCCATTCTGTGATGCTGTGATTTTCCTCGTTTCCAAGGCTCCTCTGTGTACCAGGCATGTCTCACTTTTTCAGGAGGTGACTTTGGAAAGACTGTTCTCTGGGCAGTGCAGCTTCACCTCCCTGCTCTGCCAGCTGATGGGCGGCCTGGGGCAAGAAAGGTTGTGCTGCCCTCACCTCAGTAAGGAGCTGGCTCTTCCCTCACTGCTAGCACAGCCAAGTTAGGACTGGGGAGGTGTCATCCATTTATTAACATCATGGAATTGCATCTCTGTCTCATAACACTGGATTTTATTTTATTTTTTTTTTTAAATCTGATTTCAAAGCTGCCTTATAGAAGTTGGAACCAATAACATAAATATAAGTGCTTTTAAATAAGTTTAAGGCCAATATATCAAAATTAAGTTGGCCTATAAAATAACTAAACAAAGATTTCTTAACTTTCAGTGATGATGATTCTTGCAAAAACTTCCTTTGTTTTTCAGCCAGCTTTTCATTTTGCTTTGGTTGTTTTTTTTCTTTCCCTTAGACAATTCTGATTTTCTAAAATGAGAAAAAAAAATGTTCTCTGTAGATTAATGAAAGCCACAAACATTATGTGGTGTTAGAGCTTTAAACATATTTTTTTAAAAAAAAATTAGTATTATCTTTTGGCAAATAACTGTTGTGTGCTAAGAGCTGCTCTTTTGTAGGAGCCTTATGTAACGTTGCAGTTAATAACGTGTAGTGGTGTTGGCTGTTAAATGACTTTAGTATCTCCACTCTAAAAGCCTGTTTGCAAGGAAGAGGCAGGCTTGTTGGAGTGCCAGGTTGTTAAAGAACTACAGGTTGCCAAAACTAAATGAACTTTTCAGCTGGTAACGACGTATAAATTGCTATGGCAGATGGGTGTTTGTTGGGGAAATGCTCCCCAGCACGTAGCTGTCCTTTCTTTGCTTTCGTGTCCCCAAGCCCTCAGAGATACTATCAGGAGGAGTAGCTCTAGATATATAAACACGGCTATTTTGTGTTATTAATAACTGCTAAGTAGCTATTTTTATTGAAGCTATTAGCTGCTATGTTAAAAAAGTACTTAAGCTGGTGCCACTGTAGTGTAAGAAAAGGGACGTTTAGGACAGAGTACCCTGCACTGTGACCCATGGTGGCCTTCTTGTAGCTATGCTTCTGAGAAGGACTGGAAGCAAAGATCTGTTTCTTAACTGTTTTTTGTTGTTGTTGCTGGTTGTTTTTTGTTGGTTTGGTTTTTTGTGTGTGTGTGTGTGTTTTGTTTTTTTTTTTCCAATGGGTCTTCTTTGAATCTACTGGTTCAAAACTGGGAGAGACAGGAATCGAACTGTGACACACAAATTAAGCAGTATTATTTTGTCACTGTTTTCCCCATTTGAAAAGTAGCTGTCTGTAATATGACAGTTATGAAAAGCTACCTTTGGGTGAAGAGGTTTCATAGCAAACTTTAAACAAGAAGACAATTCCTTAAAGTAAGTTTGGGGAGGTGACAGGAGGTGGCCCGAGGCTCAGTGTGAGTGCTCCCCAGCCAGCTGTAGCTCCACTCCTCTCTCCGAGTTCTGCTGGAGCCTGAGAGGAAGCTCTGGGTTTCCTGTGCAAAACTTGCTCCCTTACCCTGGAGTGTCTCACTTGGAATTTCTTAGGCTGGTTGGGAATTTAATACAAAGAGCCATTCTTGTGAGTCGTGTTTTCTTTACAAT